TCCGCCGGCACCTGCACGATACGGCCGTCCCCCGCCAGCACCTCGCATGGGACGCGCCCCCCCCCCAGGTCCCCCTCGGTCCCCCCGCCAGCATCCGCATGGTATGGTGCCCCTGGTCCCCCCGCCAGCACCTGCATGGTACGGCCCCCCTGGGATCCCTCCCCTGGTCCCCCCTGCCAGCACCCGCATGGTATGGCCCCCCGGAGTCCTCCCCGGTCCCCCCGCCAGCACCCGGACCGTACGGCCCCAGGTCCCTCTCAGGTGCCCCCTGGCGCCCGCTGCCACACAATACGTCCCCAGCCCCTCTTGGGTCCCCCCTGGCTCCCCAGTCCCCCTTAGGTCCCCACAGCCTCCCTGGTACGGCCCCCCCATGGCCCCTCAGCCCTGGTGCCCACCGGCTCCTGCTCGGTGTCCTTGCCCCAAGAGGCTGGGACAGGTCCCCTCCTAAAGTGATTTAATGGTGAAATCTCTGTCTCTCTCCCCCCTGCCCCCATGTCCTGCACCCTCGTGCCCCCCCCCCCCCAGTCCACGAGCAACGTGTGGATGACGCACGAGGAGGTGGAGTCGCTCACGGCCACAACCAAGCTGGTGAGTGAGAGTCGTGCACGGCGGGGCGGTGGGGAGACACGGAGGCGGGGGAGGGGCGTTGCTGATCCTCCGGGGCTGGAGGCGCCCAGCTCTGGGGTGCGCGGCCGGGCACTAACCGCTCTCTCCACCTTCCTTCCCGCTGTGCCCGCCCAGGAGAGCAAGGAGATCAGCTGGGAGCAGGTAGGGGGGCGGGACTGCCGGGCAGGAGTATGGACTGTGAGGGCGTGGCCTAGGCAGGGGTGGGCGTGGCCTAGGCAGGGGTGGGCGTGGCCGTACGTTTACCACGTTTTAAATCTGCCCTGCGTTTCCTGTAGCCCGTTGTCATGGAACGGGCCGGTTCTGGCGCGAACGTTTTCCTTGGCGGGGGGAGTAGTGCAATTGCTTGCCCCGTCGCCCTGACCTCCCGTTCTTTTATATACGTCTCGCACGTCTGCTCGCTCTCGTGCGACAACGCCACCACCACCACCCCTCTCGCACGAACGGGGTGGGCGGACAGGTGCTGTATTTTCGACCTGGGTGGGGGAGTGGCAGGGGCAGGGCGGGGCCGAGGCAAGGGCGGGGCCCAGTGCTAGGCGTGTGGGCGGACACACACACACGGACACACACACACACACACACACAAGCTATCCCACTGTCCCTGTTTCGGGAAGGGGGAGAGGAGGCGGGATGGACTGTCCCACTCTCCCTGTTTTGGGGGGGAGGTGGGATGGACTGTCCCTGTTTGGGGGGGGGACGGACTGTTCTATATCCTGGTTTGGAGGGGGTAGGGAAGGAGGGAGTGGACTGTGCCATTGTCCCTGTTTTTTGGGGGGGGGTCGGAAGAAGGGATGGATTATCCCACTGCGGGGAGGGGGGAAGGAGGGATGCATTGTTCTTCTGTCCCTGTTGGAAGGAGGGATGAATTGTCCCACTGATCCTGTTGGGGGGGGGGAGAGTGAGGAGGGATGGACTGTCCCACTGGCCCTCTTTGGGAGGGGGGAGGAGGGATGGACTGTTCTATTGGCCCTATTGGGGGGGAGGAAGGAGGGATGGACTGTGCCATTGTCCCTGTTTTGGGACAGGGGAAGGAGGGATGGACTGTCCCACTGGCCCTGTTCCACGGGGGTGTTTTTTTGTGGCAGCACATGGGTCCTCCCTGCAATCTGTGTTGGTAGCTGTGATTCTTGCAGTGCATTGTGGGTATTGGCTTATTCCCTCTGCGGTGGTGGGGGAGGGTCGGAGGGGGCACAGGGGTCAGAGGGGGCATGGCAGGGGTCGTGGGGCAGGGGCAGCTGTGGGTCACTGGGCAGCGGGGTCAGAAGTCAGGGATGTTCGGAGATTGGGGGGAGTGGAGGGGAAAGGTGGGGGTTGTGCCAGGGTCACAGCATAGGGGTGAGAGGTTAGAGGTCATAGGGCAGGTCGCAGTCTGAGTAAGGGGTTGCAGGTCATAGGATGGGGAGGTTACGGGGTGGGCAAAAGGTCAGGGGTTGCAGGGCAGGTGAGAGGTCAAAATGGGGTCAGGAGTCAAAGGGCACTGAGGTCATGGGGTGGGTGAGAGGTGGGGCAGGGAGGTCACACTGGGGGCAGGGGTCAAAGGACAGTGGGGTGGTGGGGCAGGGAGGTCACAGGGTCAGGGGTTAAAGGGCAGGGAGGTCAGGGCGAGAGTTTGGGTGTTGCGAGGGACAGGGCAGGGAGGTCACCGTGTGAGGTCAGAGATCAACGGGCAGTAGGGTCATGGGAGGTCACGATGTGGGTCAGGAGTCAAAGGGCAGGGAGGTCATGGGGCAGGCGAGGGTCAAAGATCGGGACAGGCAGGGAGGTCACAGGGTCAGGGGTCAACGGGCAGAGGGGTCGTGAGGTTGTAGGGTCATGAGGCAGAGCGGTCCCAGTATGGGTCAGTAGTCAGGGCAGTGGAGTCACCAGGGCAGAGCGGGATGGACAAAGGTCACGGGCCAGGTCAAAGGGCAGTGGGGTCACGGGTTGGGTCAAAGGGCCGTGGGTCAAAGGGCAGCGGGGTCGCGGGTCGGGTCAAAGGGCAGCGGGTCAAAGGGCAGCGGGGCGAGCGAGGGGTCAGTCGCTGACGTGTCGTCCCCCCCCCCCCCCGGCAGATCCTGGCCTACGGCGACATGAACCACGAGTGGGTGGGGAACGACTGGCTGCCCAGCCTGGGCCTGCCCCAGTATCGCAGCTACTTCATGGAGTCGCTGGTGGACGCCCGCATGCTCGACCACCTCAACAAGAAGGAGCTGCGGGGCCAGCTCAAGATGGTCGACAGTTTCCACCGGTGAGAGACGGGGTCCCCCGGGCCCCCCTGCTGCTCCCCCTCCCCCCGCTTCCACTGGTGAGAGACGGGGCCCCCACGTCCCCCTCGCTGCCCCTTCCCCCGCTGCTCCCCCACCCCCCACTTCCCCCAGGGAGAGACGGGGCCCCCACGTCCCCCTCGCTGCCCCTTCCCCCTGCTGCTCCCCCACCCCCCACTTCCCCCAGGGAGAGACGGGGCCCCCCACCACTCCCCCACTTCCCCCTCGCTGCTCCTCCCCTGCTGCCCAGAGCACCCAGCCTCCGTCGGTGAGAGACGGGGCCCCTGTTCTTCCCCCCGCAACCCAGCTCCAGCTCCCCAAACTCCTGATCCACACCCCACCCCCGGACACCCCCCACCCCACTTCCCCCCCCGAACCCTCGGGGAACCCCCCCTGCCCTGCTGAGCGAAGCCCGGGAGGGCTGGGGGTGCTCCCTTAGGCCTGGGGGAGGGGATTGGGCAACCGTCCCATCACCCCCAGGGGTGTGGCTGTCAGTGGCTGCATGGGGATTGCAGGGAAGGGGGGGGGCTCCCCACCTCCAAACTCCCCTGTCCCCCTCCCCTCCCCCCACAGGGTGAGTCTTCACTACGGGATCATGTGCTTGAAACGCCTCAACTACGACCGCAAGGAGCTGGAGCAGCGACGGGAGGAAAGTCAGAACCAGATCAAAGGTACCGAGCCCCCCCCAGACAGCAGAGGGCTGCGGGTCGGGAGTGAGGGGCACCGGCAGGGCTGGGGGAGCCCAGGGCCGGGCT